ACAAGAGCGTCGCGGACATGACGAGCGACCGTTCGGGCAAGGGCTCACAGCTCAAGGCCGTGCTGGAGTACTACGCCAAGGTGAAGGACCGCTGCATCGCCAAGCCCGAGAGCTACGAGGAGCGCAAGGCACGCCGCGAGGCTGAAATTGCGGGGCTCAAGTCGGCGCTGTCGATCCTGGAGTCGGAGACCTCCCTGGTGCAGCTGCACACACAGCGGCGCGGCAGCAGGGCCACATCCCTCAGGGCCGCGTCGCTCTGAGAGCGCCGCGGCGCCCTGTTGCTCTCTTAGAAGAAACTCAGACATGGGCTTCTACAGCAGAAAGAGGTTAGGCATAGCACGACGATGTGGTGCGACGAGGAGAACGAAGGAGGAAGGGGCTACCGCTGGTGAGGGATGATGAGGATTATGCTGAGGAGGAGGAGGAGGAGGAGGAGGAGGAGGAGGAGGAGGAGGAGGACGAAGATGATTGCAATGCACCCTCTCTCCAGGTTCCCTTGTGACAGGTCCCTGCAAGGTGTCATTTCAATGAGGGAACTGGCCCATCGGAAGACAGACGTTTGAACATCTCGTACTGTGTCAGAACACCGTTCCTTGGACTTCAGCACAGCGAAGCACCGTAACTGTTGCGTGCTGACGATCCCTGGTGCAGCTGCACACACAGCGGTGCGGCAGCAGGGCCACATCCCTCAGGGCCGCGTCGCTCTGAGGGCGCTGCGGCGCCCTGTTGCTCTTTTAGAAGAGACTCAGACATGGGCTTCTACAACAGAAAGAGGTTAGGCATATTACGACGATGTGGTGGGAGGAGAAGGAAGGAGGAAGGGGCTACAGCTGGTGAGGGATGATGAGGAGAATGCCGAGGAGTGAGGAGGAGGTGGGGGAGGAGAGGAAGAGGAGGAGGAGGAGGAGGAGGAGGAGGACCAGCGTAACCCAAGACTCATCAGCACTGTTGCAATTTTCCCTCCCTTCAAGTTCCCTTTTGACAGGTCCCTGCATATATTCATTTCAATGAGGGAAGTGGCCCATTGGAAGAAAAACGTTTGAGCATCTCGTACCATGTCAGAACACCGCTCCTTGGACTTCAGCACGGCGAAGCACCATAACGGCTGCGTGCTGACGATCCTGAATCGTTCCAGAACGCCGTTCCTGGGACTTCAACGCTGCACGTTTCTTGGGACTTCACGGCGCTTCAACCTGAGGTCTGGCCTTAACGCGTTTCTTGCGGCTCCCCTGCCCCTGGGGTGTTCGTGCCCCCCCATCGGGACAAGTCTGAGAGCCAAGTCCCTAGCTGTGTCTCTCGTATGCCCCGGTTGGCCTCTGAGCCCCAAGGGCCGATAGAGTATTTCGAAGCCGCGGCGGCAGCTGTCAAGGACGCGGGCGGGTGGCACCCTGGTCTGCCGCCGGGAGGTCATTCGAATCTCGGGATCCTGGGTCCCCCCCCTTATTCTGTCTTTTCTGGCACCTTGGTCGCTCCTCGAGGGATCGGTGGTATGCTTCATGCGTTCTAGTGGCTTGGACGCTCGATGACATCACCAACTGGGCTTCCGAGCGAGGTGCCACCGTTGTCTCTTCCGTCGCCAGGCACGGCAAAACGGATGCGACTTTCGGGGCCTGGCCGCGTTCCGGCGAGACCACGGCTTGGCGAGGGGGGGGGGGGGGGGGGTCTTTTCTTCCAGCATATCGCCGTGACCCTTGCGGCCGTCACCAAACAGCGCCGCAGCCCGTCGAGGCCTCGCGCCTGCTCGGTGGGGCGTCCTGGCCGGAAAACCCCCCCCCCCCCTAAACAGGCCGGCGGTCCCGCTCTCCCGGAGGCCCGCAGGCCCACAGAGGATTCCAAGGAGGCTCGGCTGCCCCCCCCCCCCCCCCAGGCCCCCCCCCCAGGTCAGACTTTTCGACGCTGTCGAATGCGGGGGGGGATTGTATGTGCACGTCTCTCGCCCACGCTCTCATCACCAGCCTGGAACATGTCCCTATCCCTATGCTGGGCACCTCCTCGTTACGATGCCAATCTTCGGGATCCCCTTTTTTTTTGAGGGCGAATTCCTAAGATTGACATCGCTTTTTGGCGTGTCAATCTTAGGGATAGGGATACGTTTGAGGCTGGTAATCTCAGCCCGCTCAGGTGTCAAGAAGGACGTGGCCGTGCGCGGCCCTCGACAGGCACAGCTGCGGGCTTGGAGCGCGGCCGAGCTGCGCAGGCGAGGCAGCTTGCGCGGGCCGATGGATGCAGACGTCGACGCTGGGCGGCTCAGGTGCTGGCGCCCGGTGATTTCGGTGAAGCGACGTGCCTGCAGGCGCTTGCCTCCCATCTCGGCCACGCGCTGCGCGTCTGTGCCCTGGTAAACTGTGAAGGGCGCCATAGCGCTATGGCGCTAGGGCGCACGGCTATGTGGCGCCACGTGGCGCCACATAGCCGTGCGCCCGGCCAGCGCGACGGCGTGGCGCTCGAGCCCCGTCGTGTGCTTGAAGCTCCGTGCGGAACGGCCTACGCCCGGAAAGAGCCCCCTCACGGAGTCGTGGGACACCCGCGCGACGTTCACCCACCGTGGCTGTTCGGAAGTGGTTTGCAATTCCGCCATTCTGGCTGAGCTCATTGACATCGACGCCGAGGGGCCGAAGAAGCCCCCCGAGGGTCCCGCCCCTGCCCCGGAGGCCGGGGCCGGCAAGCTGGCCGGCCAGCCAGCCTCGGAGGTGGGGGCCGGCATGTCAGTCGACGGCGCAGGGTCACAAGAACGCGGCCCGCGTCAGAAAACCACTCTGGCCCCTTCGAGGGGGGCGGACGGACTTCGGGCGGGGGGGCCTCCTCGAAGGCCCCCTCGATCACCTCCTCGGCGGCCCGGTCCGCTCCCGGCCTGCTTCGGCGGCAGGCCGGCGACGGCGGCGGCGGCAGCGGCGGCGCCCAGGGCTCTCTGCCCTTGCATCCCCGACAGGGCGCGCTGCAGGCGGCGGCGCGGACGGCGCGGGCGCCTTCTCTGAGGGCGCGGCCGCTCGGATACTAGGCGCTGCCTTCCCCCCCCCCGCTCCTCCGGGAAAATGCGCGCGCTCGCCCGCTCGATGGCGCCCCCTGGGGGCTGTCGGGCCGCCCGCGGTGCGGTTGGCTGCGATTTGGATGCCCTCGATAGCCTTGGGGCCCCGCTACGCGAGGCCCCCGCCGGGCTCTTCCGATGCGCGGTTGGGTCCCAGAAGGGCAGGCGGGTCTGCGGCGCAAGGCCGATCGTCACTGGAAGTCGCGCCAGGGGGTCCGGCCCCGACCCCCAACGAGTCGGCGTGCAAGAGCGCTTGTCCGCCCGATCCAACCTGGAGGGGGGGGGTCGAAGCGGGGCCGGCGCGCCCGGGGGCATGCCGCCTGGCTGGCGGGCTTTTCCCCGGCGGACCAGGAGGCGGCCTGCGTTCGTCTGCCCCGCGGTTCGGTCCCAAACGGGGCAGTGCGCCTGCCGCGAGTGCCCTCGGGTCGCTGATGTGTGTATCTTCCGGCGCAGCCTGTGCCTGGCCTGGTGGCCGGCCGGATGGGGCTCGTGTGAGGGGTGCGCCGCAATTGGGGGTGGCACAGCATGCGAACTTTCCTGCTGGGGCCTGCGTTGGAGCTCCCAAAGGGGCCACGAACCGTGTGACGGGTGCGCCGAAATGGGGGGGTGGAGTTACACGTGAACTTTTCCATGTGGGGCCCTTCGTGGAGCTCCCTGTGGGGCCACAACCCATGTGAGGGGTGCGCCGAAATTGGAGGTGGAACTGCATGCGAACTTTCCCACAGGGGCTTTCGTTGGAGCTCCCATGGTGCCACGAACCGTGTGAGGGGTGCGTCGAAATGGGGGGTCGAACTGCGTGCGAGCTTTTCGATTGACGCCTTCGGTGGAGCTCCCTGTGGGGCCACGAACCATGTGAGGGGTGCGCCGCAATTGGGGGCGAAGCTGCATGCGAACTTTCCCGCTGGGGCTTGTGGTGGGGTTCCCTACGGGGTGCGACGACATGGACGTGGAACGGCATGCGAACTTTTCCACTGGGGCCTTCGGTGGAGCTCCCTGTGGGGCCACGAAACGTTGCACTGGGCGCTAGGGACGAGGGAAGAGGGGGGGAACAGGAGGAGGAGGAAGAGAGGAACACGCGGGGCGGTGTCTTTCCAAAACGAGGGCCCAACACCACAGGATGGCTGGGAAGAGACGGCGGTGGCTGGTCATGATCTCTTGGTGGGGAGAGAGAGAGAGAGAGAGAAAGAGAGACAGAGAGAAAGAGAGAGAGAGAGGGAGGGAGAGACGGAGAGAGAAACAACAAAACAACAATCATTGTTTTCGTTTGAGGAGGAGGAGGAGGAGGAGGGAGGGAGGAAGGGCGGGAGGAAGAGGACGCGGCAACGCAAGAGGAAGAGGAAGGGGAAAAGGAAGAGGAAGAGGACGAGGAAGATGAACAGGAACAGGAAGAGGGTGAGGAAGAGGAAGGGGAAGGGGAAGGGGAAAATGGAAGGGAAGGGGAGGACGGGACGAGGAGGAGGAGGAGGAAGACGAGGAGGGAGGAGGAGAGGAAGAGGAGGAGGAGAGAGGAGGAGGAGGAGGAGGAGGAGGAGGAGGAGGAGGAGTGGAGCAGGAAGTAAGGAAGAAGAAGCAAAGGAGGGGTTTGCAGAGCATACACACGCGCGCGCGATCTCAGTGTGATAGCCTCGCGCGCGCGCGCCGTCGATTCCCAGCGACTCTACACTCCCCCGTTTTCTCCCTCTTTTCAGGTCGCTCGACTTGAGGATCTAGCCTGTGGCGTTCTTGTTCTATCCTCCTCGTTCTCCTCCTCCTCCTCCTCGGGGAGGAGAGCGGACGTGTGGAGGGGACGTGGGAGGGGACGTGAGAGGGGAGCAGGTGTTTGGAGAGGAGTGGAGGGGAGGGGTGGGGTGGGGTGGAGGAGATGGGAGGGGAGGGGAGCGGAGGAGTGGAGGAGTGGAGGAGAGGGGGGGGGAAGTGGAGAGGGGAGGAGGAGTGAAGGAGAGGGGTTGGGGTGCCGCGGCTGCTTTGGCTCAGTTACGCTCAGGGTAGTCCAGGTATCCGGGAGGCCTGCGCGGTTCTGCCGGCCCCCAGGCGAGGAGGTTCGTGTTGCTTCCGATGCCGTGCGTGTATGTTGTTTGCCGTTTCCCATCGTGATGCCTGTCGCAGGCCTGGAGGTTCACACCAACACCAATATCTGTGGTGTGCTTCCACGGAGGGATGGCGATCCCGATCTCGGCGATGGTGGTAGTGTTCGGGCTTCCTATGCCTATGTGGCCGAAACACCTTACCACCAGCACCAACATCTGGGATTATCTTCCCCAGGTGGACGCAACACCCCGTGTTGGTGTTGGTGCCCATTTTCAAGCCTCCAAGCCTGCGCGCAGTTTTTGGTGATCTATCAGTTTCCTCCACTGGTTTAGGGTTTAGGGGTCAGGGTCCTCTAGCCCAAACTTGAAGCCTGTTGGACGTGTCCCACCACCCACCCATGACCCAAAACATATTGATTTCAAAACGACGACGGCGATACCCATGACGAAGACGACGATATTGATCTCAAAACGACGACGACGGCAGTCGCGCAAAGTCTTCGGGCTCCCCTCGGAACGTCTTGCCCTTTTTCTCCAGGCTCTCACTCTGCCCTCCTCCGCCCTGCGCCTCCATGTGCGTGAGGGGTGCGCCCTGCGATCTGCAAAAGCTCTCAGAACACCATTCCTGGCATTCCGGGGGCAAGGATCTGCGTGAGGGGTGTGCCAAAATGGGGGGGCGCAGAAGGGGGCGATTGAAGGGCGGGCTAAGGCATTTCAGGATTTAAATGTTTATAGGCTTTTAGTTCTTAGGGTCTCTTAGAACTCTGTTGCAGGCGTCGTGGGCGGCGTCTTGGGAGCCTTTTTTTGACTCCGTGGAGCTATCTGGGGTCCTCTGCAAGTTTCATGGGGGCATGTTGTACGTCTTCCAGGCCATCTTGTGGTGTAGGGCTCCTGGGGCCCTACGGGTTCCCCCTCTGGGCCTCTTTTGGGCCTCTCTCTTTCTCTCCCTCTCTCTCTGTGTCTCTCGTTTTTTTCTCTATCTCTCTCTCACACAAACACAAAAACACAAACACGGACACTAACGCAAACGGAACGCAACCACAAGCATAAACACAAGCACACTCACAAGCACAACCACAGACACAAGCACAAACACAACCACAAGCACACACACATACAAACATTTCCACACGCACAACCACAAGCACAAACACAACACGCAACACAGTCACAAGCACAAACGGACATCCAACCACAAACCCACCACACAAGCACAACCACCCTCAGACACGAACACTTTCACACACACACACACAAGCACAACACAAACACACATAATCACAATCACCACACACAAACACAAGCAACACGCACACATACAATCACAAACACCCATACAAACACAAACATCAGCACAAACGCAAGCGCAATCAGAAGCACGAGTGCAGGCACAAGCGCAATCAGACTTCCAAACACAAACACACAAACGCAAACACAAACATAATCAGAAACATAAACACGGACACATACCAAACACAAAGACAAACATACATGCACACATACACACGCAAACACCCACACAGAAACACAACAAACAATAACATAAACACAACCACAACAGACAACACAGCCACCAGCACAAACACAGGCACAAACCCAACCTCACAAACGCAAACACACACCCAGGCACACACAATCACACACAAACGCAAGTACAATCACAAACACATACACACACAAACACATACAATCACACACAAACACACACATGCGAACATAGCCACACACAATTGCAACTACAACCACAACCACAACCAACATAACCACAAGCACACGCACAATAACAAATACAACCACAACCACAGCCACAACCATAACCACAAGAACAAACACAATCACAAGCACAAACACAAGCACACAACCACACGCACAATCATTCACACAGATACAAACACACAAGCATAACCTAAATCACAGACGCAAACACAATCACTCATACAATCACAATAGCACACGAACACAAACACAACGACACACACAAACACAAACACATACAAACACAAGCACACACAGGCAGAACACCGAAGACAAGCACACACAAACACTTTTGCAAAGACAGACACAAACACAACCACAAGCATAAACACAAACACAACTACAACATCAACATCAGTCACAACCACACCCACAACAACAATTGCAGCCACAGCCACAACCACTGCCGTAACCACAACCACAACCACAACCACCACTACAACTGTAACCGCAATTGCATTCACAACCACAACCACAAACACAACCTCAAACACAACCGCAGCCTTAACCACAACCGCAATCACACAGACAAACACTTTCCCAAACACAAACACAACCACAACCACAAACACAAACACAATCGCAAACACAAGCATTAACACAAACTCGCAAACACAGTTATAAACACATCCACAAACATACAAACACACACATGCACACACACTTTCAAGTACAATCACAAACACAAGCACACACAACCACAAACACAATCACAGCCACAACTACAACCACAAACACAACCACAAGCACGAACCACACCTCATCACAAACACACATACACGCGTACATACTATTTAACACAAGCACGGACGCAAACACAAGCACAAACACAGCCACAAGCACAAGTACAATCTCAACCACACTAACAAAGACAAGCACGACCACAAACACGAACACAAACACAAACACAAGCACAACCACAAACACAAACATAAACCCAAACACTTCCACAAGCACAAACATAATTACCCTGGCGACGTACCCAACCCCTGCGCAATGCGGGGCATTAGTAGCTTGGGACACGTCATACAGAGGTGATGACGTGACATGGGCGCATACAATTCTGCGAACGGCATTCGCGAGGCTCGCAGCCCCCCAGGGACGGCGAGGTCCGGCTCAGATCTGCGCAGTGTCTCACTCCGCCGGACCCGCCAGCAACCGTCGAAAGTGGCGACAATATCGCAGACCGCAGCCCCCCAAGAACAGCGAGGTCTTGCTCAGATCTGCGCGGCGCTTCACTTCGCTGGACCCAGCAGCAGCCCTCGAAAGTGGCGACAGTGTCGCAGATCGCAGCCCCCCAGGGACGGCGAGGTCTCGCTCAGATCCCCGCGGTGCCTCACTCCGCTGCACCCGCCAGCAGCCTTCGAAAGTGGCGACAATTTCGCAGATGGCAGCCCCCCAGGCACGGCGAGGTCTTGCTCAGATCCCCGCGGTGCCTCACTCCGCTGGCCCCACCAGCAGCCCTCGAAAGTGGCGACAGTGTCGCAGATCGCAGCCCCCCAGGGACGGCGAGGTCTCGCTCAGATCCCCGCGGTGCCTCACTCCGCTGGACCCACCAGCAGCACTCGAAAGTGGCGACAGTTTCACAGATCGCAGCCCCCCAGGGACGGCGAGGTCTAATCTAAGTTTGCGTGGGGCGTCACTCCGCTGGACCCACCAGCAGCCCTCGAAAGTGGCGACAGTTTCATAGATCGCAACCCCCCAGGCATGGCGAGGTCTAATCTGAGTCTGCGTGGGGCGTCACTCCGCTGGACCCCCCAGCAGCCTCGAAGATGGCGACAGTTTCACAGATCGCAGCCCCCTGCGGATGGCGAGGTCCAGTCTGAGTCTGCGTGGGGCGTCACTCCGCTGGCCACCCCAGCAGCCCTCGAAAGTGGCGACAGTTTCACAGATCGCAGGCCCCCAGGGATGGCGAGGTCTAATCTGAGTCTGCGTGGGGCGTCACTCCGCTGGACCCCCCAGCGGCCCTCGAAATGGCGACAGTTTCACAGATCGCAGCCCCCCAGGGATGGCGAGGTCTAATCTGAATCTGCGTACGGCGTCACTCCGCTGGGCCCCCCCAGCAGCCCTCGAAAGTGGCGACAGTTTCACAGATCGCAGCCCCCCAGGGATGGCGAGGTCCAGTCTGAGTCTGCGTGGGGCGTCACTCCGCTGGCCACCCCAGCAGCCTCGAAAGTAGCGAGAGTTTCACGGATCGCAGCCCCCTAGGGATGGCGAGGTCTAATCTGAGTCTGCGTGGGGCGTCACTCCGCTGGCCCCCCCAGCAGCCCTCGAAAGTGGCGACAGTTTCACAGATCGCAGCCCGAAGAGAGGAGCTGGGGGGAGAGGAGGAGGTGGGGTGAGGAAGGAGACGCGACCGCAGTGCTCTATTCATAACGAATACCCAGCCAAGGAGGGCTGGACAAAAATTATTCACTTCGTGGAGCTTCCCATATGTGCATCTCATGTTTTATATTCTGCCGTAGTGAGCGTCTGTTCATGAGCGTTTGACTATAATAGCCCGTCCACGTTGGCGACAGGCCCGACGAAGGCGAGTGCATCCTGATGCGAGTGAGTGAGTATGAGTCAGAGGGAGCTGAGTATGATTGAACATGAGCCTCTTCATCTTCACTCCCCCTCCTCAGCTGCCAGGCCGTGCCCTCCTCAGCCTGCGGTAACTTCCGAGCTTCCCAGATGTGCATACTCTTACTCCTCCTCCTCCTCCTCCTCCTCCTCCTCCTCCTCCTCCTCCTCCTCCTCCTCCCCCTTTCCTCCATCCTCAAAATCTGCTATGAAAGCCAAGGATGTTGAGCACGAAAACGAGCAAACCGCCTGAGACATCCCCACAAACTGGCCGCGAACGGGCCCGTGATATACCCCCTGGCGGCTCCCCTTAGGGGTGCTGAAACCAGCGCCCCGCCTGAGACATCCTCACAATCTGCTATGAAAGCCAAGGATGTTGAGCACGAAAACGAGCAAACCGCCTGAGACATCCCCACAAACTGGCCGCGAACGGGCCCGTGATATACCCCCTGGCGGCTCCCCTTAGGGGTGCTGAAACCAGCGCCCCGCCTGAGACATCCTCACAATCTGCTATGAAAGCCAAGGATGTTGAGCACGAAAACGAGCAAACCGCCTGAGACATCCCCACAAACTGGCCGCGAACGGGCCCGTGATATACCCCCTGGCGGCTCTCCTTAGGGGTGCTGAAGCCTGCGCCCCGCCTGAGACATCCTCACAATCTGCTATGAAAGCCAAGGATGTTGAGCACGAAAACGAGCAAACCGCTTCAGACATCCCCACAAACTGGCCGCGAACG